GAGCGACCATCGGCTGTTATGGCGGTACACCCCACCACCATGGCCGGTGCTTGTGTTCTGGTGGCCAAACGAAGGTGCACATTTTCAGCTGACCTATTTGGCAAGTAAACACTATCATTTTATTTGTTTACAAACTGCTGGACCACGAATGTTTTCTCATCGGTGAAACCCAAAATCGGCAGTTCACCACTTTCGGTCAAGCGAAGCAACTCTTTACCTCTTTTAAGTCTATTTTCTTTCTGTTGCGGTGTAAGTTCTGGCACTTTTTGGAATTTCAATGGATTTACCTCCCCAAGCTCATTTTTCAATATTTGCCGAATGGAATATTGCGATATGTTTAGCTCACGAGCCACCTTTCGGCCACTGCGATGTGAGCTTCGATTTGGTCGCATTTTTACTTTTCGAACTATTTCTACTGATGTTGCTGCTGTTTTCTTCCGTCCTCTTCCTTGACGTCGAGCCACGGTATCAGTATCACGGTAACGGGCGATGGTGTGAGACACAAAAGATTTATTCACATTTGAATGCTGGAGTGCTCTAACGATAGCCACTTGTGGGTTTCCAGGCAATTATAAAGAAATTGTGCAATCACGCTTGAGTACCACGAGTTCACGAATAACTCCTTTCCGGGAAAATTCTCACCAAAATGCTTTTGTACGCTTGTAAACAATACAATGAGCTGTCATTGGAATAATTTTAACAGCTGTCAGACGAGTGGCTTAGAAATGACAGCAGTCTGAAATTGGTTGCAGTTTTGTCATCTCACCCTGTACCTCTGTTGTTATGATATCATAACAACATAGTTACCAATGTTAACTGATTTAAACCAATTAGGCAACATGCAATTTTTCGGAAAGGTCTATGGAATAGAATTTCAAAACCACATTTTATTTGTCGTTCGTGTCTGTAATTGTTGTTTTTATATTAACATGCATCTGTCATGAGCTGTTACTCTATGTATTGTAGACACAAACCACTTTGTCTAGTCATTACCATTTCAGGTCTTTGTACTATGTATGCGGAGGTTATAAACACACATACCCACATACGTTTTAATGTGCCATCGAACAATCACCATGACAACTAAAATAGTGAATTCCTTATTATAATTATATACCCATAACCATTAATGTGCCTCATTAACCTTTCAAATATATTTATGATATTTCGCTAAAATTAATTACTTTTCAATTAACATTTTTTATATGGTCACAATATGATTGTTTTTTTTTTTTAATATAATCATTATTGCATCGTTCCAATAAAGAGGGGAAGAAAACCCGGAATAAAACAAAAGCATTTTAATTTCTGAATCAAATAAATAGATGGTCACTTTATTGATTATCCAGCTGAATGATAATGAAATTCTTTCTGCATAATTACACACAAACGTGTAATGTGAAACAAATAAAAAAGCTGTAAGTTCGGCCTGGCCGAACTTTGAACACCCTCCATCGTTTGGAACGAATTTGGCAATTCTCAAAAACAATAAAATCCGTTAAAAATCTTAGAAATACCGAATGTAGCTGTTATATTGGGGTCAATACGACGACATGGACCTGCGTAGGTAACTTTTGTCATAAGCCATTACAATATTCAAATGCGAAACTTAGAAAAAAATCGGTGAATAACGTAGCTAAAATCATCAAAATACCGAATATCGGGAGGTACTGTTATATGGGGGCTATACGAAGACGTGGACCTGCACAACGAATCTCCTGTCATAGGCTGTAGCGTCCATTACGAACATCAAATGCCAAACTTGAAACAATTCCGGTTAATAATGTTGCTAAAATCGTCAAAAACCCGAATATCAGGAGGTACTGTTATATGGGGGCTATACGAAGACGTGGACCTGCACAGACAGTTTTCTATCGTAGGCTGTAGTATTCATTACGCACTTCAAATACCAAATTTTAAATAGATCCGGTAAATAATGTCTTTAAAATCATCAAAATACCGAATATTGGGAGGTACTGTTATATGGGGGCTATAACAAAACGTGACCCATTTTACATGACCCATTTTCAATACAAAAAGTTCTGCAGCCATAATATACATTTGAATAAAATTTTATCAATCTACTTCATTTCGTTCGGAAGCTAGAGTGATTTTCACAGACGGAATGACGGATACACAGAAATCGACATACAATTTTATACGGAATGACAAACTACGGCCTAAGACAGAAAACGGGCCATGTAGGTTCACGTCTTCGCATAGTCTCCATATAACGGTACTTCCCGATATGCGGTATTTTGATTTTAGCGACATTATTTACCGAAATTGTTTCAAAATTGGTATTTAAAGTTCGTAATGGATACTACGGCCTAAGGCATAGCCCCCATATAACGGTACCTCCAGATATGCGGTATTTTGATGATTTTAGCGACATTATTTACCGGAATTGTCTCAAAATTGGTATTTAAAGTTCGTAATGAATGCTACGGCCTAAGACAGAAAACGGGTCATCTACGTCTTCGTATAGCCCCATATAACAGTACCTCCCAATATGCGGTGTTTTGGTGATTTTAGCGACATTATTTACCGGAATTGTTTCAAAAATGGTATTTAAAGTTCGTAATAGATACTATAGCATAAAACAGAAAACGGGCCATGTTGGTCCACGTTTTCGTATAGCCTCCATATAACGGTACCCCCGATATTCGCTATTTTGATGATTTTAGAGACATTATTTACAGGAATTGTTCCAAATTTGGTATTTGAAGTTCGTAATAGATACAAAATCCTAAGACAGAAAATAAGCCATGTAGTCTTCGTATAGTCCCGTCTTCGTATAGTCCCCACATTTTAGAGACATTATTTACCGGATCTATTTAAAATTTGGTATTTGAAGTTCGTAATGAATACTACAGAATATGATAGAAAACTGTCTGTGCAGGTCCACGTCTTCGTATAGCCTCCATGTAACGGCACCCCCCGATATTCGGTATTTTGATGATTTTAGTGACATTATTTTCCGGAACTATTTCAAATTTGGTATTTACAATTTGGTATTTGCATATACAATTTGGCTGTCTTAGGCTGTATTTCCGATTCCGAAAATCAAATATGAAATTGGAAACCCACTAAAATACCGAATATTGAGTGGTACTATAAAATTGTCTATGTAACCCATATATAACAGTACTTCTAGATATTCGGTATTATGATGGTTTTACACACATTTCAAACCGAAATAAGCATCAGTTTGTTCATTTTACTTGTTCTTTGTTCGACAGGTAACACATACAGTTCTCCGCTGAATCAAAAACGATAAAATTCGTGTCAGTAGTTGCAGAGAAATTCAAGGTCAAGCTTCAACTTTTGATTATACCAATAACGGTTTTAGACTCTAGGTCTCTTTGGGCTAAATCCGTTTCAGGACATTTGTAGTAGATCTAGCGACGTCCGTCCGTCCGTTTGGTTTGCTGGCTGGTGCGCACGATAACTCTCGAAGGGAGTATCCGATTTGGGCCAAACTTAGTACAACGTAATATAATTATCAAACATAGATCGAGTTCGGAGATGGGCAATATCGGTCCACTCCATCTGGTACCTCCAAACACAAAAAAATCGAAATATTCCAAAAAATATTTTGTTGTACAGAAAGAGAAATAATAATCCGATTTTGCTCCAACTTTGCAAATCCAAATATCTGCGTCAGTGCTAGATCAGGTGCTAAAATGGACAATATCGTCCTACTCTATCAAGTACCTCCCTCATGTATGAGTCTGATTTCACACATCCCTAAAGTTTTATTAAGCCAAGGTCTGGTGTTAAGATAATCCGATTATCCGATTCCATTTAGACTTGGCACATCTTAATATTTCCATCAACACAGGATCTGCTATTAAGGCGGTTAAGATCGGACTATTCCTTCTGGCCCCTCCCCTACAGGGGTCAAAGTTTTGAATAACCAAAACGTTTATAAAATCCGAAATAAGTATCACGTTCTCCTTATATTTCACACATTTCATTATTTCTTCTAACACAATATCTGTTGTGAAGGTGGGATATATATGTTATCTCCTTCTGGTACCTCCACCACAAATGGTCAAAATGTTGAATATCCATAGAGCACATTAAACGCATAGGTTCACTTTTTTTAAAAAAAAATCGTGGGCAAATGTGACTAGGATCATCAAAACAGGTCCTCTCCTTCTGGTACTTCCCCCACAAAGGCGAAATTAACATCCGATTCCATTCACACTTGACACATCTCAATATTTCCATCAACACAAGATCTGTTATAAAGATGGTGGAGACCGGACCATTATTTCGGGTACCACCCCACTCAGGGTTCAAGATTTTTAAAAACAAAACGCTCGAAGAAAGAGAACACAATATCTGTGTTTAAGATGACATATATTTGCGAAACCCTTCTGGTACCTCACCCACAAAGTTTCACAAAGCTTTGATCTGTCATAATTTGCGAAACAAGTCAGCGATTCTTCACCACTTGCTACATCTAAATATTTCTCTCAACCAGAAAACTGGGATAAATATGGAAAAAAAAATCAAAATTGTTAACCCTTTGTGAGGGAGGTACTAGAAGGAATGGTCCGACCTCTACCATCTTTATAACACATCTTGTATTGATTGAAAAATTGGGATGTGCCAAGTCTGAATGGAATTGGATGGATATTGAAAATGTTAACCCTTTGTGGGGGTGGTTCTTGATGGAATGGACCGATGTTGTCCATTTTCGCACCTGACCTAGCACTAATACAAATTCGGATTATCCTTTTTCTCTGAGAACAGAAAAATCTGTTTTGCGGCTTTAAGTCTATAGATTACAAAAAAAATAGACAATCAAATATACAAACATTTTTATCTGTCCGACCTTATATAGGCCTTGCTTTGTAACAAATTTTGACTGACACAAACCAATTATCAGAGAATAAATCATTTGAACTTCATAAACAATTCGTTACCATTTTGTTAAGTTTTTTTTTATGCCTTTCGATTTATTTTCTAATAAGAATGTATAATTTCAGGTAAACCGCAGCCAGAAGACTGTAATAAACCGAACTATCAATGCGCGGGAAAACACAAACTTCCAATAAATGCATTTCATTTTGATGTCTTAGGCAAAACCTTCGTGGATCTGAAATTTAGGCATTTTGATAAGATGCCGCAGAACGCCGTAATGACAAACAAGGGTTACTATATCGTTCTGGATTTAACATACGATGGCGCTCCACCGTTAATATCCGATGGTCCTCTTAAAGAAAATGAAGTCTACGAACTGGATCAAATTCGTTTTGAATGGGACAGGACCACAGGTGTCAATGACACAGCCATAAGGCCAATGGAGATGCACATCCTGTTTCGAAACACAAAAAAGAAAGATTTTGATGAGGCTTCGCACGCCGATAATGGACTAGCTGCATTGGCCTTTTTCTTTGCGGTATGAAACTTGTAGATATGATCTTGATCGCCATGAATATTGTACCTAAAATCATCATAATACCGAAAATATGGAGACACTGATATATGGGGCCTATACAAAGAACTGGACCTGTATAGACAATTTTCTGACATAGATTGTAGTTCCCACGAACGAACTCTAAACATGAAATTTGAGACAACTCCCTTGAATAATGTCGCTAAAATCACCAAAATACCAAATAATGGGAGGTATCGATATGGAGACGATACAGACGTAAGTCTGCATACACATTTTTTATACCCTCCACCAAAGTATGAAGGGTACATTAAGTTTGTCATTCCATTTGTAACACCTCGAAAAATACATTTTAGACCCCACAAAGTGTATATATTCTTGATCAGCATAAAATTCTATGTCGATTGAGCAATGTCAGCCCTTCTCTCCGTCTTTACGCCTGTGGAAATCACTCTAGCTTCGGGACGAAATGAAGTAGGTGGATAAAATGTTACTCAAATGTGTAATATGTCTGCAGGACTTTTATTTTGAAAGGGTATTGAAAATGGGCCATGTAGGTCCACGTCTTCGTATAGCCCCCATATAATGGTACCTCCCGATATGTAGTATTTTGATGATTTTAGCTACATTATTTACCAGAATTGTTTCAAAATTAGTATTTGAAGTTCGCAATGGATACTACAGCCTACGACAGAAAATGGGCCATGTAGGTCCACGTCTGCATATAGCCCCTACATTATAAACAGATGTTTTTTTCAAGTTTCGAATTTTAATATGGTAATGGCTTATGACAACAATGCCTATGTAGGTCCCCGTCGTATATACCCCAATATAACGGCTACTTTCGGTATTTTTAAGATTTTAAAAGAATTATTAACAGATTTTATTTTTTTTTTTTTTGAAAATTGCCAAATTTGTATTTGAGGTTATTCAAAGTTCGGCCCGGCCGAACTTACAGCTTTTTTACTTATTTTTGCATATACTGTAGTACCCATTACGAATTCTAAATACGACATTTGCAACAACTGAGGTGAATAATGTCCCTTAACTCGTCAAAATATCGAATATCGTGGGCTATACCATACGTGGACCTATGTCGGTCTCTTCCAGGGGGTACAGTGCTTAGGAAGAACTTTTAGTATGGATTTTTAGACAGTTCCATTGAAAAATATATCTCAAAGCATCAAAATGCCGAATATAGGGAGGTACAGTTATATGAAGGATATATTATATCGTGGACCTACATAGACAATACTCTCCCAGGGTTTAAAATAAAATACTAGAAGGAACTCCTTTTGTGGGTTTTCAGACAATTTCACTGAAAAATTTGGTTACTTACATAAAAACACCGAATATCGGGTACACATACATGGGGGCTATACGATATTGTGGACCGATATAGACCATCTTCAAACTAGTCATGCTTGCAGGCAAAAGACTGATCTGTGCAAAATTTTAGCTTCCTATATTTATTTGGACGGACGGACAGACATGGCTAAATCATCTTAGTATTTTACGCTGATCAAGAATATATATCTTTGTTAGGTCTAAAATTATTATTTCGATGTGTTATAAACGGAATGACGAACTTAATATGGAGGGTATATGTATGGTGGAGGGCATAAAAATAAATAAATAAATGTCACTAAATTCACCAAAACACCGAAAATCGGGAGGTATCGTTATATGGTGGCTATAAGAAGACGAGGACATGCATAGATAATTTTCGGAATTTGAAACAATTCCGAAGAATATTCTCCTTAAATTCATTAAAATGCCGAATATCGAGGGTACCGTTATATGAGGGCTATACGAAAACGTGGATCTATATAAAAAATTCTCTTCCAGTGGATAATGTGCTCAGAATCATCAAAATAATCAAAATCGAGGGTTCCGTTATAAGGGGGTTATACGATATAGTGGACCTATATAAACTATTCTCTTCCGCGGGGTAAAGTACTCAGAAGGAACTACTTGTGTCAGTTTTCAGACAATTCCAAAGGACTAAATATGCCGAAGTATTTGTATCTTTTAAATTCGGACTTGTATTGCCCATTTGTTGCAAAATTAATTTGAAATCGGATAAAAATATATATGGGAGCTATATCCAAATTTGAACCGATCTCGATAAAATTTGTCAAAGATATTTCTGAGCTGTATTTGATATATTTCCCTAAATATCGTTGTTACGGAGTGCATATTACGGCTGCGGAGCACAAAAATAACAGATCGGATGAGCAATATATATGGGAGCTATAGCTATATCTGAACCGATTTCGATCAAATTTGGCATACTTATTTTCAAGCCTAATTTGATTGTATGTGCCAAATGCCATACTATTCGGGCTGATGTTACACGTTTGGTGCACAATAAAAGGCATATCGGACGAAGCGACGAGCTATATCTAATTTTTTACCGATTATCTCCAATTTCAATAGGGTTCGTCCTTGGGCCAAACAAATTGCTTGTGCAAAAATTTCATCTCAATCGGATAATAAATGCGACCTGCATTTTGTTCACAAGATTACATGGACAGACGGACGGACGGACAGATGGACTGACATGCATAAATCAACACGGAAAGTGATTGTATGGAGATCTTCAAAAGTAACTATGGGTCTGTCTTGCCTCCTTCTCCATGTTACAAACAAATGCACAAGGACATAATACCCTTACCACTATGTGGTGTAGGGTATAATAACGAAAAACGATTTATGTGTCCGACAACATCACTTTTTAACCCTTTGTGGCGCCATGTTGTATTTCTGCAACATGCCATTCAAGGGGATTTAAAACTGCATTAAATGCTAATTGAACGATTTTACTCGGTGTAGTACAATAGCAACAAAGTTCCAAAACGATTTAATATCAAATAATCTTAGTATATGGCAACACTGGAATGTGCTACTTATTTTTAGAAAAGCACATGTGCAAACCGGTTTCGCGATTCTCGATTTTTTTTTACAAAAGTATTTAAGTGGAAAAGGCAAATAATACATTTGTGAAATGTTTATATAATAAAGGCGATAATCTATTATTCAATAATGCGTTAACGTTTTCTTGGATAATCAGATCCTTTTTTAGTTTTGGCCTGACTTGTGTTTGTTACATTTATGCAACATTGCGTTATGCGATGTATTTTCCCCCATTTTTATACCCTCCACCATACTATGGAGGGTATATTAATTTTGTCATTCCGTTTTTAACTCCTCGAAATACTCATGTCAGACCCAACAAAGTATATATATTCTTGATCAGCGTAAAATTCTAAGACGATCACGCTATTTTTCGAACAAATTGAGATAGAATGCTAAAATGTTGCACACATGTATATTTTGCCAGTAGGCAGGTTAAGTTCGTAAATGGGCCATGTAGGCCCAAGTTATCATATAGCCTCCATATAACGGTACCTCCCGATATTCGGTATTTTGATGATTTTAGCGACATTATTCACCGGAATTGTTTCAAATTTGGCATTTGAAGTTCGTAATGGATACTACAGCCTAAGACAGAAAATAATCTGTGTAGGTCTACGTCTTCGTATAACCCCCATATACCATACCCCCCGATATTCGGTATTTTGATGATTTTAGCGACATTATTAAACGGAATCGTTCCAAATTTGGCATTTGAAGTTCGTAATAGATGCTGCAGCATAAAACAGAAAATGGGCCATGTAGGTCCACGTCTTCGTATGGCCCCCATATACCGTAACCCCCGATATTCGGTATTTTGATGATTTTAGCGACATTAATTACCGGAATTGTTTCAAATTTCGCATGTGAAGTTCGTAATGGATACTTCAACCCATGTCAGAAAATTGTCTGTGCAGGTCTGATGACGACGGTGCAATCGATCCGAAATATACATTCCGATGAGGAATGTAGCAACCGCATCTTACCGCTGCTATGGTCATTAGCTTCGATTCCCCAAGCACAAATTTTGCAGCAGCTTCAAAGTTGTCTGATCGTAATGCTAAGGCTAGTATCACATGGAAATCGAAAAGTTTACTGTTAAATGATGCGCAACAACGTTTTCGTGTTTCAGAAAAGCTTCCTCCAGAGATACTTAGTTTAGACACTCCATTTGAGATAGTTTCGTATCTTATTACTGACGATATGATCAACCTAATTACAGACCAGACTAATCTATATTCCGTTCAGAATGATTCCAATAAACCAATAAATGTAACTGGTCAGGAAATAGTTTATTTTATTTCAATTAGGTAGCTCTGGTTGCTTGGAGAGATAATAAAATCGTCACCTTACCATCAAATTTTGCATTTTGCAACTACAGTTAAAAGATGAGATAAGTCGGGAAAGAAATACGTTTTTATTGAGCGCCCTTTTCTTGTTTCCGAATACAATCAACACACGGGCGGCGTAGATCATTAGACTCCGTTATGGGTTACTGCAAAAGTAAAACTAAGAAGTAAACGTTGGTATACAGGTATTTTTTACCACCTATGGATATACAAAGTGAAAGGATGCTCAGGTAAAATACTTAGCTCTTCTGAGTTCAGAATTGCTGTAGCAGAGACGTTATGTAAATATAAAACTGTTGACCGGTTAAAACGTAAGAGTGATATTGAAAACCAAATTAAAAACAAAAAGAAGAAGGGTTCGGTACAACATGCTCCTCGAAAAGATTTCAGGTTGGACCAATACGGGTACCGGCCGGTTGCTGCGAAATGCGATGCAAGTGGCTGCGAAAAATATGGTATTAGTTTGTGTTATAGTAAGCAAAAAACTGTTTCAACAATTTTCAGACTTCTTATAAATAAGTTCAATTTTTCACAGCTTTGAGCGCAATGTTACACTTCTGCAACACAAAGTTTTTTAATAAAAATAAGTACTTAAACTATAGAAATAAAAAAGTAGTTATTATTTCCGCCAATAAAATCATATTTAAGACCCTATACACATAAAACAAAAAAAAAAAAAAAAAAAAAAAAAATTATGTCCTCGCGCCACAAAGGGTTAATCTATTGAAAATATGTAATAACCGGCCATAGACGTGCTCGCTAATTATTTAGCTTTTTATACCCTCCACCATACTATGGAGGGTATATTAATTTTGTCATTCCGTTTGTAACTCCTCAAAATACTCATGTCAGACCCAACAAAGTATATATATTCTTGATCAGCGTAAAATTCTAAGACGATTTAGCCATGTCTGTCTGTCTGTTGTAATCACGCTATCTTTCGAACAAATTGATTGCACACATGTATATTTTGCCACTAGGCAGGTTAAGTTCGAAAATGGGCCATGTAGGTCCAAGTTATCATATAGCCCCCATATAACGGTACCTCCCGATATTCGGTATTTTGATGATTTTAGCGACATTATTCATCGGAATTGTTTCAAATTTGGCATTTGAAATTCGTAATAAATTCTACATCCTAAGTCAAAAAATGAGCCATGTAGGTCCACGTCTTCATATAGTCCCCATATAACGGTACCCCCCGATATTTGGAATTTTAATGATTTTAGCGACATTGTTTACCGGAATCGTTTCAAATTTGGTATTTGAAGTTTGTAATGGATACTACATCCTAAGTCAAAAAATGAGCCATGTAGGTCCACGTCTTCATATAGTCCCCATATAACGGTACCCCCCGAAATTCGGTATTTTGATGATTTTAGCGACATTATTCCCCGGAATTGTTCCAAATTTGGTATTTGAAGTTCTCAATAGATACTGCAGCATAAAACAGAAAATGGGCCATGTAGGTCCACGTCTTCATATAGCCCGCATATACCGCACCCCCCGATATTCGGTATTTTGATGATTTTAGCGACACTGTTTACCGGGATTGTTTCAAATTTCGCATGTGAAGTTCGTAATGCCATGCCAGAAAATTGTCTCTGCATATAAACAGATTTTTCCTCAAGTTTCGCATTTAAATATTGTAATAACTTATGACAAAAGTTGGCTATGCAGGTCCACGTCGTCGTATAAGCATTCGGTATTTTTAAGATTTTAACAGAATTTTTAACTTTAATTTTTTAATTGCTAAATTTGTGCCAAGTGGTGGAGGATATTAAAAGTTCGACCCGGCCGAACTTATAGCTTTTTTACTTGTTGTTATTCGGATTTTCGTCCAGCTAACATAGTTTCACAACGCCCGTTCTTCAAAAGGTAAATAATATAAGTTCTTCGAATAATCAATAAACCCGCCAATTTTTATTATATAAAAATTCAAATATTTTTGAAACGCGTCGCATAGTGGTGAGTGTGTGATAGTGTCTATCTGGCTTTCCTTTTCACTGCAAATTTCAGATCATTAAGCTCGTCTCGAAAGAGAAAACAAACACATATTTTGTGTTTTATTTATCATTTTGTTTATTTTTCACTATTCCGCAACACCATGTGCGGTGGATAACAAGTCCCGTTATCTTAATATCGATTTTGTTTCGTACTTTGAGAAAATACGAAAAGTAACGATTACAAACATTTTATATAGTTTATGCTCGTACGCTGACCACCACCACAATTTAGAGGTGGCCACACCAGAGGAGAACAGCTGAGCAGCAAATCTGTCATAATTCAAACAACACTCCAATTCCACGCAAAAAATATTCACTCTTTTGACCAGCAACCAATTATGAAAGTAAACTAAACAAATTTTCTTCACTCTTAAAATGTTTCTTTCGCTTCTCCATAATTATCCGCTTTTATGTTCGTCGCCTTCGCATTTTTTATTCTCAACCAGGAATGAATGTCCATGAGTCAAAAAGGTATTCTTCTCTATGTCTTCCCGACATTGGACACTTCTTTGAAATCGATGATTTGCGATAAGTAAAGTATTCATGTACCAGAACTTAATATGGTTGGTTGCAGGCTATCGGTTATTAATTCTTTCCGGTTATTCTTATCGGTTATTTATCCATGCTAGTTACTTTTTAATCGATTTCTTGTCTTATTTGCCTGCGTTACAGCCATGGTAGATGAATACAGGTAGTCGCATCGCCACAGCTGTTGGGACAATGAAATGTTAAACCAATTCTGGAATTGAAATTTTTATACCCTCCATAGTATGGTGGAGGGTATAACAATTTTAATCCCAGAATTGGTTTAACATTTCATTGTTTCATTCATTAACTTCGTCATTCCGTTTGTAACTCCTCGAAATACTCATGTCAGACCCAACAAAGTATATATATTCCGGATCAGCGTAAAATTCTAAGTCGATTTAGCGATGTCCGTCTGTCTGTCGAACGAATTGAGATAGAAGGCTAAAATTTTGCACACATGTTTATTTTTTCAGTAGGCAGGTTAAGTTCGTAAATGGGCCATGTAAGTCCCCGTTTTCATGTAGCCCCCATATAACGGTACCCCCCGATATTCGGTATTTTGATGATTTTAGCGACATTATTAACCGGAATTGTTTCAAATTTGGTATTTGAATTTCGAAATGGATACTACAGCCTAAGACAGAAAATTGTCTGTGCAGGTCCACGTCTTCGTATAGCCCCCATACCTCCCGATATTCGGTATTTGGATGATTTTAGCGACATTATTTACCGAAATTGTTTCAAATTGGTATTTGAAGTTCGAAATGGACACTACAGCCTAAGACAGAAAATTATCTGTGCACGGTACCTCCCGATATGCGGTATTTTGATGATTTTAGCGACATTATTCACCGGAATTTTTTGAATTATCTATGCAAAACTTGGGTTACGGACGGACATCTCTAAATGGACCCCAAATGTCCTGAAACAGATTTGGTCCAAAGAGACCTAGGTCCTCTGGAGACTTAAAACCGTTATTTCGATGAAGTACGTTGTAGCTGTGTCAAACCTTCTCTAGCCATATGGCTGAGGGTACAAAATTGTGGCGAAAATCATCAAAATACCGAATATCGGAAGGTATCATTACAGGGTGAGATAAAAAAAAAAACTGCAAACCAATCTAAGCCCCTCGACCGACAGCTGTTAATATTATTCCAGTGACAGCTCATTATATTGTTTACAAGAGTACAAAAGTATTTTGGTGAGAATTTTCCAGAAAAAAAGTTATTCGTGATGAATTTCAAGCGTGATAGTGTGATTTCTTTATATTTGGCTGGAAAACCACAAGTGGCTATTGTTAGAGCACTCCAGCATTTAAATGTGTCTTTTAATCTTTTGTGTCTCGTACCATCGCTCGTTACCGTGATACTGGTAGCGTAGCCCGACGTCAAGGCAGTGGAGGGAAGAAAACCGCAATATCAGCAGAAATGGTTCGAAAAGTAAAGAAGCGACTTAATCGCAATCCGCGTCGCAGTGGACGAAAAATGTTTCGTGAGCTGAACATATCGCAATATTCCATTCGCAAATATTGAAAAATGAGCTTGAGGAGTTAAATCCATTGAAAATCCAAAAAGTGCAAGAACTTACACCGCAACAAAAAGAAGATAGACTGAAAAGAGCTAAAGAGCTGCTTCGCTTGGCCGAAAGTGGTGAACTGGCGAATTCGGTTTTCTCCGATGAGAAAACATTCGTTGTCCAGCAGTTTGTAAACAAACAAAATGATCGTGTTTACTTGCCAAAGAGGTCAGCTGAAAATGTGCACCTTCGTTTGGCCACCAGAACACAAGCGCCGGGCATGGTGATGGTGTGGGCCGCCGTAACAGACCATGGTCGCACTCCGCTCGCATTAATCGACCGTGGCATCAGAATAAATGCCGAATATTATCGCAAAAATATTGTGGAGGGTGTATTAAAGCCTTGGGCACGCAAGTATTTTAGTCGCAGACCTTGAACATTCCAACAGGACACAGCACCAGCGCACTCAGCATGCGCCACCAAGAAAGGTTACGAAATGAGGTTCCTCACTTCATTTCCAGCACACAATGGCCACCAAAATCTCAGGATGCTAATCCGTTGAACTATTGTGTCTAGATTATTTTGGAAAGCAAGGTTGGCACTAAAAAAACCAAAGGTTGGCCCTAAAAAATGCCAGTAATTTCAACAGACAGACGGACAGACATACAACGTTAAATCGGCTTGGAATTCTTTTTAGGTCTACTAGAAATATTTAGGAATGTTACAAACGGAATGTCAAAGTTAATATATCCTCCTTTTCAACGCGGAGAGTATGAAAACAATAGGTTGGTTGAACATTTAGGGATGTTACATACGGAATTACAAAGTTAATAAACCTTCTTTGGTTTTAATGTAAGTAGTTGCCAAGAATAAGTTAGGAAACCTATTATTTGGCAATAGAAAGTTTTGCTTGACAGCTTTCCTCCTGAATCATGCCATTTCATATGTTTTATTTAAAACAATTATTTTCTCTTTTCAATAGATGGGAAATGATTTCTATGCGGGATATGGAATTTTGGCAAAATTTTTGAAAGAAATCAAAACGCCAAATACATCGACAGCAGTACCACCTATGCCGTTAATCCACATGATGCCAAAAGCCATAGTTTCCTACTACCACTATTCCGGCACTTTATTGGCTCCACCCTGTTCGAGCAGTGTTATATGGATGGATTTTCCTACGCCCATCGATCTGCCGTTGTCTTTGGTAAATATAAGTATATCCACGTAATTAAATAATACTATCATAGATGTGATGATCTTTCTCAGGCTATTCTATTCAATGGGCTCTATACACCACACCCTTACACCAACGATAAAAGGCCGGCTACTGGTCAACTTGGCTCTGTCATAAATTTTGTCGCCGAAGTCAACTCCGTACCGGATGGCAGTATTGCAATCGATGATTGGAATGGGAACGTCAAACATACATTGATCTCGCTTCCCCTTCTATTGTTTTGTATTTATATGTTAAATGTATACATTTAAATTAGACATTAGATGTTGTGTTGACATAAATTACACTGTGCTACAACACTGACATATGATAAAAATAACCATAACCTTGTGGGTGTACACCCACATAACAGATATGTGAACCCATTTTCGTGCAGGTAAATTTGATAAAATACTGTGCTGGATGCTGGATTAATTGAAATGAGGCTGTCTTGAAATAATTGTGCCACGAACATTATTATATCCTATACAAATATTGTTATATATGTAATAATATAGTCTTTATAAACATTAGGGTTATGACTTTTTGAAAGAATGAATTTTTACACACTTATATCCATGGTATAATTATTAGAATGTGGAAGCAAACCTACAGCCAATGCAATTCCACTACAACCACACAGATGTGTGTTATTGAAATGAAGCTAGTGTCATAGATAGGCGTCCAAAAATTATAAATGAATTATTTTAATTTTAAAAAATATTTAAATTTTTATACTCTACACCACATAGTGGTAAGGGTATTATGTCTTTGTGCATTTGTTTGCAACATGGAGAAGAAAACGAGATAGTCCCATAGTTCCTTTTGGTGATCAGCATAGAATCACATTTTGAGTCGATTTATGCATGTCCGTCCGTCTGTCTGTCCATGTATTTTTGTAAACAAAATGCAGGTTGCATTTATTATTCAATTGAGATGAAATTTTCTAAATAAAATTTGTTTGGTTCAAGGACGAACCCTATTGAAATTGGTGAAAATCGGTCCAAATTTAGATATAGCTCCCATAAATATCTTCATTTTAGGTTTCTTGTGCACCAAATGGCTAATATATGTCCAAATGGTGGGAATTTTGCTACACCCGACCGAATTCAGCCTAAAAGCATGTGCTTCAAATTTGGTGAAAGTCGGTTGAGGTATAGCTACAGCTCCCATATATATCTTCATCCGATTTTAGGTTTCTTCTGCACCAAATGGCTAATAGCAGTTCAAATGGTGTGAATTTTGCTACATCTGACCGAATTCAGCCTACAAACATGTGCTTCAAATTTGGTGGATATCAGTTCAGATATAGCTATAGCTCCCATATATGTTTCATCCGATTTTGGTGTTTAAGTCCCTCACATTCGTAATATAAACCCTACAAAATGATATTTATTTATTTATTTTACACCAGATATCAGATACCACCTAGCAATTCATGATTCAAATTTTATCAAGATCGGTTCCGATTTGGATATAGCTCCCATATCTTCATCCGATTTTTGGTTTCTTGTGCACCATATGGCTAATATCAATACAAATGGTGTGAATTTTGGCACTTCAGATCGAATTTAGTATAGAAATAAGTACTTCTAATTTGGTGAACGATACAAGAATAATATTTGGTACAAGATATCAGATGCAGCCAAGAAATGGCTGTTTTCAATTTTATGAAGATCGGCTCAGATTTGGAAATAGCCTCCATATATATGATAATTCGATTTCATATATATATATATATATACCAAATAGCTAATATTAGCACAAAAAAATATCCCCTCTATGGATATTTGCCATATTAACAATTTTGCTGGTTCTCTTATGAACTGGCCTTCACCATAGTACCCCACAAAGAATATATATTCTTGATATGCATAGCAAACAAAATGAAAAAGGTGGATCAATGTATAGACCCCCATATATATAACTATTTTGAGAGAATTAAAGTTTTATATTCGGTATTGTGATGATTCGTATCACATTTTTCAGCGGAATTGTTTCAAATTTGATCTTAAGAGTTTGTAATGGACACTACCTCCCATGACAGAGAATTCACATCTTCGCATAGGTCTTACATAACTGTTCCTCCCTATATTCGGTATTTTTATACCCTCAGCCATATGGCTAGAGAGGGCATATATCATTTTATACTTCGAAAACTTACCTCGTCGAAATACCGGTTTTAGAAATAGGGTCTCTTTGGACTAAATAAATTTCAAGACATTTTTTAGTCGATCTAGTGATGTCCTTCCGTCCATCTGTCTGTGTGGTGCGTACCACCGATTCGTCCACACTTATATTATCAAACTTAGATCGAGTTCGGAGATGGCCAATAACGATCCTCCCCTTGTGATACCTCCCCCACAAAGTGTTACAATTTTCAAAAAAAAAAAAAAAAAAAAAAAAAAAAATATATATATTTGATATATATATATATATATATATATATATATATATATATATATATATATATATATATATATATATATATATATATATATATATATATATATATATATTTTTTTTTTTTTTTGTGTGCTGCACAGAAAGATTTTGCGTCAGTGCTAGGTCAAGTGCTAAAATTGAAAATATCGGTCTGCTCCAACAAGTACCTCCCCCCAAAATTTTGAATAATTACAACTCTTATAAAATGTGATGTAAGAGTCCGATTGTCTTCCAATTACACACGTCACAATATTTTTAATAAACCAAGGTCTGGCGTGAAGATGGAATATTTGGGTTTAGTCATTCTGTTACCCCCCTACAAACGGTCAAAATTTTGAATGCCTATGAAGCTCACAAAACTCGAACTTAGCACGCGATTCCATTCAGACTTAGTTCCTCCCCCATAAAGGGTCAACACTTTCATATTCCACTCATCGTATTATTTAGATCAAACAAGATCTGCTGAGAAGATGGAACATATCGGTCCACTCCTTCTGGTATCTCCCCCACAAAGGATCAAAATTATGAAAGTCAATAAAGATCATATAACGCAAAGTTAACATCCGAGTCCATTCAGACTTGGTACATCTCAATATTTCCACCAACACAAGATCTGTTATAAAGATGACAAACATCGGGACATTTCTTCTGGTACCTGCTCCACAAAGGGTCAAAACTTTGAATAACAAAAACGATCATAACAAGTAAGCAAAGGCTACAGTCGAGCGGGGCCGACCGTTGAATACCCTACAACACTATAATAAACGATACAGTGTATATAGGCGAGATACTCGGAAGAATTCCACAAGATATCGTGACAAATAATAAAAGAAAACCATCAGGTTTCGTTCTCTAATTTTCGAATAATAGCAACTTAAACTAATTTGCTCATTTCCAATTTATTGGCAGATGTTGCACTTAAATGGTCTTCCTAGATCTGGAACCAATATTTCCCAAAGACCTATAATCTCTCAGAAGTGGCAAAAGATTAACATTTATTATTGGTTTTTGACTGAAACGCATCTATATGAGATACAGACATTTGACTATAGTCTTCAACGAAATAGTCAGAAGTGCGTCTTTCCTGTATTTGTGAATTCTCCAACAAGTCACTGGAATGGACATTTTCGTATTTTGTCTACAAAAGTTGGCAAACTATTTCGCACATTGAATATTTTTGGATGGCCATCCAAAACTGCTTGGCTTTTGCAATGACCGGTAACCCCCATTCAAATGTGCGTGAGGATCGGGCGATAATTACGACCTGCCGACAATTTTGCAGTTTTTTGGTCCATTTCAACCCCTAAATATATGGCGATCATCTCCAAAAAGAGTAGGCTTCTATTCTGACCCTCATCTTATCCCCATGCAAAATCTCGTAAGGATCGGGCCATAAATGCGATCTGTATATGATATCCTGATATCCTAACTACTTAGTTTTGTTAGCTGTAGAAATATTACCAAATGTTTAATTCAAAATGAAAATATGCAAAAAAAAAAAATATGACAAAATTGAAAAAATATGAGAAAATTTTACAAAATCAATATTTTTATCTTTAGAGAGATATTTTTATGCGATATTTTTAGACGTTTTTTCTTTCCTGCCAAGAGGTCATTCTGACATAATGAGAACTGTCGAAATCAGTTCAGCCGTTCTCGACATATAAGAGATTTTTCAAGCATATTTTCTTTGATAAACATATATATCGCACATATTTTGCTATATATCTGATTTTTTGGATGTTAACATCAATGTAAAGATCAGAAGTAACCTAGTCATGGCTTTGTGATTTCGCCGGGATTTAAAATATTCGCGGTTTAATGAAAAATTTTGAATTTTTTCAACACAAAAGATGTGGTCTATTTTACCCGCTAAATATTATCCGATGACCACCCAAATTGGTAGGCTTCTTCCCCGCCCTTAACTATAGCTACATGCGAAATTCCACGTCGATTGGTCTATAATTGCGACCTGTATAGATACTGCAAATTCCGACATTTTTTCAGTATTTGGTCCATTTTAACCCCTAAACATTTGGCAATCATCTCCAAAAGAAATAGGCTTCTATTCTGACCTTAACCCCACCTTCGTGCAAAATTTCGTAAGGATCGGGCCATAATTGCGACCTGTAGCTTGATTACAAATTAACATGGACAGACGGACAGACGGACGGACATACATGGCTAGATCGACTCAGCTCGGCGAGCTAGGAAGATCCATATATACTTTCCTATGTGGGAATTCAATATTTCGAGGTGTTACATAAATTCTGGCCCAATCAAACTTATAATACCCCCAACACATAGTATTGTAGGGTATAAAAACTGAAATAAAAATCCGGTACTCTTCATATTTCCCACATCCTATTATATCGAACTACACAAGATCTGCTGTGAAAATGGAATACATCGGTCCACCTCCCCCACAAAGTGTCAAAACTTTAAATAAGAAAAACGATCAAAAAATCTGAAATAAACATTCGGTTCTCTTCATATTTCCCACATCCTATTATTTCGATCAACACAAGATCTACTGTGAAAATGGAATATATCGGTCCACTCCTTCTCCCCCACAAAGGGTCAAAATTAGGAAAGTCCATAAAGCTCATATAACGCAAACTTAACATCCGATTCCGTTCAGACTTGCTACATCTCAATAATTCTGTCATCACAAGATTTGCTATAAAAATGGTAAATATCGTACCATTTGTTCTGGTACCTCCCCCAGGGTTCAAGATTTTGAAAAACAAAACGTTCGAAGAAAGCGAAATAAGCATCCAACTCTCTTCAAATATCACACAGATAGTAACCAATATAGTCCAAACCTGATACGTTGCAATATTTATATCATATTTATTTAGGTCCAATACCAAATGGACAAAATTGGCCCATTCCTTCGGAGCCTACATAGAGGGTCAAAAAATTTGAATAATCATAAAAGAAGTCAAGATATAGTTGAATAATCGAACATTGGTTGAAGGGATACATCTTTCGGCAAAACCGACTGGCACATTTAAATCTGTTTTTATTAAATTTATTTTTTTTATAGTTAATATTAAGATTTTATCTAATGTTAAGCATCAAACTATGATACAGGGACATTAGGCTGGATGAAAGTCATAACCTATATTGCAAAAAAAAAAAAAAAAAAAAAAAACAACCCACAATGCAAAATGGAGTTGCAGCTATGATATTAATTGAAACAATGTATATGTGACCTGATGTCTAACCTAAGAAAATATATTATCCTATCACCTCAATAAGATCAGTTAATTGTGAATACTTTTGTGTGAAACTGAAAATTAAAAACCTATATTTCTGAATAAAATTAGTCAAAAACAACCAAATATTTTTTTTAATTTCCATGAATTATTGCCAAAACAAATCCCCAAGAATCCAATATACAGGGTGAGATAAAAAACTTCAACGAAGTCAAACGCCATAATTTTTACATTTTTTATAAATTTTATTGAATGAAAGTAATAAATGTCGGAAGTGGCATCAAATTTTAGAATAAGTTTAGCTTTGTTCGAATTGGCCACCTTGGACACAAATTATGAACGGTCAATAAAACGGTCACACGCTGCCCAAATGTTGCTCTGCGGTATTCTGGCCGATTTCCGGCGCAGCGATTGCTTGAGGAGATCGACACTTTGGTATTTTTTAGTGCCAACCTTGCTTTTCAAAATACTCCAGACACAATAGTCCAACGGATTGGTATCCGGAGATTTTGGTGACCATTGTGCGCTGGAAATGAAGCGAGGAACCTCATTTTGTAACCATTAATACACCTTCCAGAATATTTTCTCGATAATATTCGGCGTTTATTCTGATTCCACGGTTGATTAAGACGAGCGGAGAGCGACCATCGGCTGTTATGGCGGCACACTGCATCACCATGGCCGGTGCTTGTGTTCTGGTGGCCAACCGAAGGTGTAAATTTTCTGCTGACCTCTTTGTCAAGTAAACACGATCATTTTTTTTTTTTGTTTACAAACTGCTGGACAGCGAATGTTTTCTCATCGGCGAAAACCAAATTCGGCAGTACACCACTTTTGGCCAAGAGAAGCAACTCTTTGGCTCTTTTGAGTCTATTTATATTTTTGTAAACAAAGTACAGTTCGCATTTATTGCCCTATCTAGATGAAATTTTGCACAAATCATTTGTTTGGCCCAAGGACGAATCCTATTGAAATTGGAGATAATCGGTCAAAATTTAGATATAGCTCCCATATATATCTTCGTCCGATTTGCTTTTTATTGTGCACCAAACGTGTAATATTAGCCCGAATAGTATGGAATTTTGCACATGCAACCAAATTAGTCCTGAAAATAAGTATGCAAAATTTGATCGAAATCGGTTCAGATATGGCTATAGCTCCCACATATATTGTTCATGCGATTTGCTATTTTTGTCCTCCGCAGCCGTAATATGCACTCTGTAACAACAATATTTGGGGAAATATATTAAATACAGCTCTGAAATACATTTGCTAAATTTTATCGAGATCGGTTCAGATTTGGATATAGCTCCCATATATAACTTCGTCCGATTTTCCCTTTTATTGTGCACCAAACGTCTAATATTTGTCCAAATGGAATGAAATCTGGTAGTTACGACCGAATTTAGTCTAGAAGCTAGTATGTCAAATTTGATCGAAATCGGTTCAGATATGGCTATAAATAGCCATATATACTGTTCATCCGATTTGTTATATTGGTTTCCCACAGCCAAAATATGCACTCCGTAACAACAATATTTGGGGAAATATATTAAATACAGCTCAGAAATATCTTTGCCAAATTTTATCGAGATCGGTTCAGATTTGGATATAGCTCCCATATATATCTTTATCCGATTTCAAATTGATTGTGCACCAAATGGGCAATACAAGTCCGAATTTAAAAGATACAAATGCTTCGGCATATTTAGTCCTTTGAACTCTAAATTATAATTATAATCATAGCGTGTATGATTGAATTCTCCCATAAAAACTTTTAATTGTTATGCGCAGCTCTACTAAATTAGCAAAGTGGTGTAGGGTATCATAAAGTCGGCCCCGCCCGACTTTAAGACTTTCTTTACTGGTTTTTTTCTTTTGCGGTGTAAGTTCTTGCACTTTTAGGAATTTCAATGGCTTTACGCATAGCTTATTTTTTAATATTTGCGGAATGGAATTTTGTGATATGTTCAGCTCAAGAGCCACCTTTCGGATTTCGATCAAGTCTCTTCTTTAAATTTCCAACCATTTCTGCTGATGTTGCTGTTTTCCTCCGTCCACTTCCACTTCCTTGACGTCGGCTTACGCTACCAGTATCACGGTAACGAGCAATGGTACGAGACACAAAAGATTTATTCACATTTAAATGCTGGAGTGCTCTAACGATAGCCATTTGCGGTTTCCCATGCAATTATAAAGAAATCATGCAATCACGCTTGAATTTCATCACGAATAACATTTTTTTCTGGAAAATTCTCACCAAAATGCTTTTGGATGCTTGTAAACAATATAATGAGAGCTGTCACTGGAATAATTTGAAAAAACTGCAACCAACTTCAGACTGTTGTCATTTCTCATTTTTTCATCTCACTCTGTATATGATATAAAATTGACACTTGAATCTCCTCGATTTCTTCTGTGTGCACGGCGTTTAATATTTCAGATGGATACTTACAATTGTAACAATAGCAACAAAAAAAAATAGTTTTCTTTTCATTATTTATTACATTTTATTTAGTTTCTGCTGTTGCATGGTGTTGCAGTGTTTCTGTGGCTTGTCAAATAAATACGTATAATTACTTAAATATGTTTGTATATGTTGGTTGTATATATGTATGTGTGGATAAGGAATATTTTTTTTACGGAATTTATATATAATATAATATGCGTAGTATCTGTAGTGGTAGTAGTAATATGACGTACTATTATTGGTTAGATTTGTATTTGTTGTTCCTAAAGTTCGGTATGTTTATGTATATATAATTTGATTTAATATAGGTATATATGCTAGTAGGTTGTGTATCTAAAGTTGTAATTTCCTTTTCCATAGAATGACCACCATTCACACATCCTGAATACACTGCGATATATCATTTGGAAGTTTTGTCGTTTCTTGATTGTGGTTACTCCTTTTTTCTTTAAGACATGTCATTGAAGTTCTTATATGGCATAATGTATGTATATATAATTCTTATTTGTTTTATATTTAATAATTTTTTTAATTGTATATCTAAAAAGATAAAGTTATTTCATAATTTCTTTTCTTTTTTCTTTTGTCATTTTAGAGTTCTGTGTGTATATAGGAATATTATGTTAATCATTTGGTTGTATAGGTATTTCTTATAGCTACTTTTTTAGTTTTTATTTTTGAGTATTTTATTTTTAATGTTGGTTTTTACTATGTTATGGTGTTTTTTCTTTTCTCTTATTTATAACAATGCTTAATTGGAACTAGAAGTTTTTGTTTTTGATTACATCATTATACAATGCCTGCAAATACTTACACATCGGTTAATTCAGTGTAGAAGAGGAAAGTCTTGTGCTATGTGTGTCAAATCATTTGCGGATGAAAATTGAGATACAAAATTATGGTTTAATTAAAAAAAAAATAACATTAACTGTCTACCGATTTGTGACTGTCGATATTGTTTCTCATATTACCATGGTAGAAGAATATAGGTAGATGCATCAACGCTTGGGAACATTGATATGTCAAAAAATGTTAAATATTTTTTCAAATATAAGTAGATTTTTGTATGTTTCCTTATAAGACATCGATCGGAGGTTATTACAATATGCGTTTTTCAACAATTTTTACAAATTTGAATAATTTTTCATTCAATAATTTCAATTGCAAAATTTGTTTGACAGTTCATTGTCCCAGCTGCTGTGTCGATGCGACTACCTGTATTCTTCTACCATGCATACCCTTTGTCTTGGAATTCTTATAGTGGGTTTAGATACGAAATTTTATCCAGTTTAAAGAAATAACAGTTTAATCCGGATTTATTCAACCAGATTTACCAAACAAAAGTAGATCTCCTCTTGACCGGATTTATTTTAAATCCCGCACGGAATCTATACTACTTTATGTATTAGGTTTTTATACCCTACACTACATAGTGGTAAGGGTATTATGTCTTTGTACATTTGTTTTTAACATGGAGAAGGTAACGTGATAGACCCATAGTTACTTTTGAGGATCTTCAAGGAATCACTTTCGGAGTCGATTTATGCATGTCAATCCGTCCGTCTTACCATGTATTCTTTTGAACAAAATGCAAAATGCAGATCGCATTTATTATCCGATTGAGATGCAATTTTTCAAACAATATTTGTTTGGCCCAAAGACAAACCCTATTGAAATTGGTGATAACCGGATCAGATTTGGATATAGCTCCCATGTATATCTTCAACCGATTTCGGGTTAATTGTGCACCAAATGTCCAATATCAATCCAAATGACCTGAATTTTGGCACATCCGACCGAATGCAGTTTAGAAGCAAGTACATGAAATTTGGTGAAAATCGGTTCAGATATAGCTATAGCTCCCATATACATATATGTTTCATCCGAATCAAACTGTAACTGCTCTAAAGCCAAATGTTGATAGGTGGTATGATCTACTTCAAATAAATTCTTTTGTTATGGGAGCTCTATTAAATATGCCTAGTGGTGTAGGGTATCATATAGTCGGCTCCGCCGACTTTTGACTTTTCCTTACTGGTTTGATACACAAATTTTTCGTAGATGTACAGAAGTATATAAATGTAAATAAAGATCGGCTAAGTGATATTTATACTCTGCTAAGGGTGTATCTAAACCACTGAATCTGTTAAACCCAGTGGTTTTATCTTTAATAGTATAAATGCGCTATGAGAAGATTTGCAAATGTTTACAAACAGACAATGGTCCAGCAAAATTTTACAAACTCTATAAAAGAATTTCTCTCTCAAGTGGTTCTCTTTAGATGCACTTTAGTGTTAACAGAGGACTTCCAGTAACAATTGTTAAGATTTTTTAGGCACCCAGCATGGTAGAAAAATACAGATAGATGCATCAACGCTTGGGAGCATTGATATGTCAAAAGATTTAAAATTTGTTTTCAAATATAAGTAGATTTTTATATGTTTTCTTCTACGACGTCATTCGGAGGATATTATAATACTCGTTTTCAACAATTTTTACAAATTCAAATAATTTTTCATTCAACATTTTCAATTTCAAAATTGACTTGACAGTTCATTGTCCCAGCAGCTGTGTCGATGCGACTACCTATATTCTTCTACCATGGCACCCAGGCAGACCTAATTATGAGAATTTTGTCAGTTTAAAGCTTGGTCAGCTAGTTTTTAATCAGCTGTTTTCTGTTCTAATGTTTTCTGTTCAGTCACAATACGAGTATTTGGTATAATTTTTTTCTTTAAAAAATGTTAAACTGAATGAAATTTTGTTTGGCACAACATAAAGTGGTGTTTCATTATATAATCATATATTACTCAATTAGCTAAGATTTTTTAAATCTTTAATTTTGTTCAATGTTTCGATTTGATCTTTATTCAATAGTGATTTAATATTCCCTTTAATTTTGATTTCATTTTTTTGAAAAAGTTTTTATTTTTAATTTAGCACTTTGTTTGATTAGTTTGGAGTTTCTTATTTTCAATAACTTTAATGTTGATTCTGAAGTCCTTAATTTTTTAAGATTATTTTTGTTCACTTTCTTCGTCTGCCTAAATACATTAATAAATTAATTTTGTTTTGTTTCTTTTGCTTCATCGTTTTCAAGACACAACAGTTACTGGTCCAGTTCCGGAAAGTTTGCTTCAAACTGGGGGAAGGAGGAGGAGGAATTCATTTAAATAACAATTAGATATTCAATTATTAAATATTTAAAACAATTATTCAAAAATGAACACCAACGTTAAGTTTTATACGATTCCTGTTGATAGACAGGTGCTAATGCCGGTGCTGGCATAATATTAGCTGCTACCACTGGAACTGATGATGGTTTCGCGATGGTTGCCGTTGCTGTTGTTGGTAATGCGGGTGTATTGGCATCTGGATTACATTCTTTGTGCACTGAAATGATGGGTTAAGATGATTAGGTTAGGAATATAATAAAGAATAATGTGAAAACAAGAAACAAGTAAAAAAAAAAAAACATTAAGATCGGCCGGGCCGAACATTTAATACCCTCCATCTTTGGATAAAGAAAACAGGTGTTTTATAAAAGTATCTGCATTCAAACGTGTTCCACTACAAATACCAGTAAGACCGTTTGGATAATGCTGTTAAACTTTTCAAACCATAGAGTGGGGAGGCCGTTGTATGGGGACCATACCAAACCGGGAACCTTTATAGGCAATTTTATACTTCAAGGATTGTCATGTACCAAATCTTTTTAATAACCAAATTTGAAAATTTTCGTGGGTAAATGTGACTAGGATTATCAAAGTACTGAATATCGGTGGGTATCGTTATATGTGCGTCATATGTGTTCCACCACAAAAGCTGGAACCCATTGCGGACAACAAATACCAATTTTTGGACAAATCCGTGGATAACGGTGGCAAAAATAATCAAAATATCGAATATCGGGAGGTACCGTTATATGGCGGCTATATGAAAACGTGGACCAAAACATACAATGTTGCGCCACCGGATATAGAACCCATTATGACCTACAAATACCAATTTTTAGACAAATCCGTGAAAAAATGTGGCAAAAATCATTAAAATACCGAATATCGGGAGGTAACGTTATATGGGGGCTATACCAAAACGTGGACCTATACATATAATGATTCGCTACACGAGCTAGAACCCATTATGACCCACAAATATCAGTTTTTAGACAAATCCGTGAAAAAATGTGGCAAAATTCATCAAAATGCCGAATATCGAAAGGTACCGTTAAATGTTGACGCTCTACGTCAAAAAATATGGGCTGTAGGGTGATTTCAACAGACAGACAGACGGGCATCGTTAAATCGACTTATACTTTATGGGGCCTACGATGAATATTTAGGGATGTTTTCCAAGGTGGAGGGTATAAAAATATTGGTATGGGCAAAATTACAAGAAAATCGAACATTTATATCCAATTTAATTCGAAACCATAAATTCCATACTCATCCCTGGCTTCGGGTTGAGCGAAATATTTAGGTATAGCAAGTTGTAAAGAATCGCTGATTTTATGTGAGGGAACATTTGTGGGTGAGGGGTTCGCAGATACATATCATCTTCCCAACAGTTCTTGTGTTAGCAAAAGTGTTTGTATGTACGAAATTTGAAGAGAGTTGGAGTTGTTCACTTCGCATTCTTTGAGCGTTTTGTTTTTTAAAATCTTGAACCCTATGTGGGGGAGGTACCAGAAGCAATTGTCCGATCTCTACCATCTTTATAACAGATCTTGTGTTGATGGAAATATTGAGATGTACTAAGTCTGAATGGAATCTGATATTAATTTTGCGTTTCATGAGCTTCGTAGATATTAAAATTTTTGGCCCATTTTGGGGGAGGTACTAGGAAAAGTGCACCGATATATCCCATCTTCACAGAAGATCTTGTGTTAGTAGAAATAAAGGGGTGTGTGAAATATGAAGAGAACCGGATGCTTATTTCAGATTTTATAATAGTTTTTTTTTTTTTTTGTATTCAAAACTTTGACCCTTTGTGGGTGAGGTACCAGATTATATCTACCTTTTTTATAATAGATCTTGTGCTGATAGAAATATTGTGATCTGTGTAAGACTGATAGTTACTTTTTAGAATCTTCATAGAATCACTCTCTGAGTCGATCTATGCATGTCAGTCCGTCTGTCCATCCGTCTGTACGTCTGTCCACGTATTTTTGTGAACAAAATGCAGATTGCATTTGTTATGACATTAAGATGAAATTTTGCAAACAAGATTTGTTTGGTCCAAGGACGAACCCTATTGAAATTGGTGATAATCAGATCAGATTTAGATATAGCTCCAATATATATATATAATTGTGCACCAAATGGCCAATATCAGTCGAAATTACCAGAATTTTGGCACATCCGATCAAATTCTGTCTAGAAGCAAGTTCATGAAATTTAGAGAAAATCGGTTCAGCTATAGCTATAGCTTCCATATATATGTTTCAACCGAACTGGAGTTCCAAGTCCCTCACATGCACAATATGCACTCCACAAGAATGATATTTGGTACCAGATATCTAATGGAGCTCAAAAATACCTCCGTCAAATTTTATCGAGATCGGTTCAGATTAGGATATAGCTCCCATATATATATATATATATATATATATATATATATATATCTATATATAAATGTAAGTTGTGTTAGTTACTACGCTTATAACTTAAGAACCGCTGGACTGATTTTAACGATTCACACAAATTCGGAGTTGTCTCCTCTCCGAAAAGGATAATATCCAGAAAATCGCGTAAAAATGTGATATATTAACATTTTCATTTTGACTTTTCAAATGTACAATAGTAATGTTTTATTTTGCATGGTTTTTTCCAATTTTGGCTGTCTTTTTTCTAATTTACATTTGTAGTGTTTTTTATATTTTATTTTTGAATTCGAATAATAAAACCAATTTATTTAATTGACTCGATTTCTTGAGAACTGAAATTGATGGCGGGTTACATGGAAGTGTAATACCGAATTATATGGTGGCGAAACGGAATAGATGATATCGAAATGATTTAACGCGGTCACACCAAAAGAAAGATAATTATTAATTAAAAGATAATTACTTTTTCAAATTCGCTAAAAAATCACGAAAAAGAGATCTCATTGCAAAAATTCTCAAATCGGGAAAAAATCGAAAAGATTTTCAGTGGAATCGAATTTTAAAATAATAGTAAGGGTCTTTAAACATTTGCTGTAATAAATCAGCGAACAAGTTGAAGATTTTTTCAATTTGTTATTCTTCTTTTGCATTTTTTTTAATTTGTATTATCATATTGAATTCAGTGGATTTTTTTGTGAACAAAATAAAGAATAATTTTTCACTATATACAATTTTTCAACAAAAAAACTGAAATAAGTGCGAAATACGATGTTAACTGACATCTACCTTTCAACTATAGGGCCGACATCGTGGTTCATATGGAAGATGCGAACACATTTAAACAACCAAAAATGACAGAAAAAGCCTAATGGAGCTCATTTCAAAGCGTGGACCTACTTCTTTGATGTGACAATAATCCGTCCAATGAGAGCTCAAAATGCAAAATTCTTTGGGAGTACAATCAGTAAAATACCAAATATAAAGGACGGAAAATAGTAGAGCGAATGAGACTCTTAGTAAGAAAAGGATTTCTATCCTTCCAGAAATTCTTCACAAACATTCAAGATACCTTAAATCACTTTTGCAGGTCATGATATCGATCATAACTCACGATAAGGGTACATCCCGATTTCATATTTATATAATTATCATATGATTTAAGCTATTTTTGGGGTCTTGGCCACTTTTTTCATTGCTTGGCCCTTATTTGGCATCTTTGTCTCTAAGGGGTTAGGGAACCATCATACAGATAATTGCCACATAGGAATTTATTTAAGTAAAGTCCCCACATTGGAGTATCCCAAAGTCCACTTTCACATATAATGTGTGGTCAGAAAAGAAAATTTTGTATTCTATTGAATTTGTAACTCTCAAGAGAATATTGGTTGGAAACGTAGATTTGGGATATACATCTATATGATAATATGGTGGATAAAACTATTTTTACTCATTTAAATCGCGCGAAATTTTTTTCAGTTTGACATGCTATGTTGTTCTGTTAAATTTTTGATTTGGTCTCTATTTAACTTTGGCTATTCTTAATTCATTCAGCGCTCAATTATGAGGTGTACAAAATACAGCAAATTCCAAATTACTGCTCATTTGACTGGAAAATTTTGCTACGATTTTTATCATACTAAAAATTAATTTGATCCTTTACATGGGGATAAGATTGATATATACTTTTTAATAGATTTGTATAGCACATCCACACCTTTGAAGCCCACGGCTTAAATATGGGTACAGGTATTTTAAAACACTTTTAATCGACCAGTACGGGAACACTTATATCAGTCATATCTGTGAATAATTATGCTTTGACAAATATGCATAATAGACAAAAACTACTGGCCGGCAACGCGGACCGGGCCAGCTAGTATACATATATACATATATATATATATATATATATATATATATATATATATATATATATATATATATATATATATATATATATATATATATATATATATATATATATATATATATATATATATATATATATATATATATATATATATATATTTTATATATTTTATTTTTTTATATTTTATTTTTGAATTCGAATAATAAAACCAATTTATTTAATTGACTCGATTTCTTTAGAACTGAAATTGATGGCGGGTTACATGGAAGTGTAATACCGAATTATATGGTGGCGAAACGGAATAGATGATATCGAAATGATTTAACGCGGTCACACCAAAAGAAAGATAATTATTAATTAAAAGATAATTACTTTTCCAAATTCGCTAAAAAATCACGAAAAAGAGATCTCATTGCAAAAATTCTCAAATCGGGAAAAAATCGAAAAGATTTTCAGTGGAATCGAATTTTAAAATAATAGTAAGGGTCTTTAAACATTTGCTGTAATAAATCAGCGAACAAGTTGAAGATTTTTTCAATTTGTTATTCTTCTTTTGCATTTTTTTTTAATTTGTATTATCATATTGAATTCAGTGGATTTTTTTGTGAACAAAATAAAGAATAATTTTTCACTATATACAATTTTTCAACAAAAAAACTGAAATAAGTGCGAAATACGATGTTAACTGACATCTACCTTTCAACTATAGGGCCGACATCGTGGTTCATATGGAAGATGCGAACACATTTAAACAACCAAAAATGACAGAAGTAAAATACCAAATATAAAGGACGGAAAATAGTAGAGCGAATGAGACTCTTAGTAAGAAAAGGATTTCTATCCTTCCAGAAATTCTTCACAAACATTCAAGATACCTTAAATCACTTTTGCAGGTCATGATATCGATCATAACTCACGATAAGGGTACATCCCGATTTCATATTTATATAATTATCATATGATTTAAGCTATTTTTGGGGTCTTGGCCACTTTTTTCATTGCTTGGCCCTTATTTGGCATCATGGGGATAAGATTGATATATACTTTTTAATAGATTTGTATAGCACATCCACACCTTTGAAGCCCACGGCTTAAATATGGGTACAGGTATTTTAAAACACTTTTAATCGAGCAGTACGGGAACACTTATATCAGTCATATCTGTGAATAATTATGCTTTGACAAATATGCATAATAGACAAAAACTACTGGCCGGCAACGCGGACCGGGCCAGCTAGTATACATATATATATATATATATATATATATATATATATATATATATATATATATATATCTGATATATATATATATATATATATATATATATATATATATATATATATATATATATATATATATATATATATATATATATATATATATATATATATATATATATATATATATATATATATATATATATATATATATATATATATATATATATATATATATATATATATCCGATATCAGGCTTATTGTAAATGGCTAATATCAACCCAAATGAAGTGAATTTTTGTAAATTCCCACTGAATTCATCTTAGAAACCAGTAATCTAAAAGTTGGTGAAAATCGATTCCGATGTAGCTATAGCTCCCATATAAATGTTTCATCCGATTTGGGGTTTTAGGTCCCTCACATGCGTAATATACACTCCACAACAATAATCTTTGGTACCAGATTTCAGATACAGCTTAGAAATAAGTGCTGAAAATTTTGTCAAGATCGGTTCAGATTTGGATATATCTCGTGTATATATTGTTATCCGATTTCATTTTTTTTTTTTGCACCAAATGGCAAATATCAACCCAAATGAAGTGAATTTTTGCAAATTCCGACTAAATTCAAAAAATAAAATTCTTAAAAAATTCTGTTAAAATTTCCGCCCGCCTTTTGACCTTTCCTTACTGTTTTTTTAATAAATTTTGTAAATATGAATATCGCAGGTTACACCGTATTCAGAAGGACTATAACCATAAAATTATTTTATATCACCGTGAACCGATTGCAACTTACACAAATCCAACCTACCTGCTGCTGCTGTCATTCTATTGTATAAATTACGCTTTTTCTTTTTTAATATTGCATCTAAGTTATAGCCCTCTATGGCCATTCTGAAAATAAATGGATAAAATTGAAATGTTTGTATAGCAATTCTTAGAAATCCCATTTCCTACTTACTTTTCTATTCTGCTTAAACCTAGGATGTCCTTGAAAACCAAGTAAATTTTGTTTAATGTCAAATTGGGTAGTCCCTGTCCCAGATACCGTATGAATTTAAGTTGTTCGGACTTGGGTAAACCGCTCTCCGATAAATCCAAAAAGGGTCTATGATCGGCCACCTTATATTCCTAGAGTAAGTTGAAATAAACGAAAACAACAGCAAAAACAAAGGGGGAAAAGAAAAAATACAATGGCATTAAATCAAATCCTTTTTTAGGGATACAATTTTCAATTTCATTCAAAATATATTTTGTTCATTCATGTTTCTGAGAGTGGTGGGTTTTTGTTTGCTCACATTGCAAAATCTGTTGAAATTTTCGATGAGAATATACTTTTCATAATACGTTACAGTCTGATTTGTTTGAATACCGAACTGTTTTAGTAATTCCTGTTTTTTGGGTGGTAACCTGGACAATTGGGTACAAATTCCATCCTCAATGCGATGCGTCTCATGAACATCGAAATTATCGAAAATCATAAGATTTTCCAGAGGTCTGGTTGGGGCTGGCTGTGGTCCATTGATTGCAGTTGGTGGCAACATTGCTTGGTTACTGTTCTGATTAAAGTCCATAAGGGTAGATGTTGTGGGATGTTGTTGTTGTTGCTGCTGTGACTGTGCTGGTATCAAAGGTGGTGGTTGTAACACATTCAGGGGGCCATTGGTATGGCCATTGTTATTATTTAGATTTAAGGACAATGTTGTCACTGATCCACTTGTTGGTGCGATGGTTGCCGATGTCGTCCCTGTTGTAGATGCCGGAGCCACAAGGAAATCCATGCTGTCATTTGACTGTTGATTGAGAATATTTTTCAGATCTGAAATTAAAAACGAAATTGATCGGGCATCAAGAACGTGACTTACACAAAACACATAAATATGTATATTGGCAGAAATAGTGAAATCTTTGGAGTTTAAGGAGAATCTGGCACTAATCTATATGACTGACTGAGGGACTGAGAAGCAACGACCAGACGAAACGGCTGAAGTGTAGTGGTGTGATAATGCTAGGTTTTTGACATTTGTAAGAAAAGTACTTAAAGGTATCAAAATTGATAAAAATTTAAACTTTGAAGTTACGAAAAGTTCTAAAATGGCGCTAAACTTTCAAAAATTGTACCATTCGGTATTATATGAACGGATAGAGCTATAAACTTGGAATCAAGGTGGGAAAGTAAGTTTGATAGATAAAGGTGGCTTAGGAAATGTGTAACAAAGTGTGCGAGCTGCACTAAATTTGGAACAGTTTGGTGTAGGGCGAACGGATGAAGATGTAATTTTGAAATTTTGTAAAAGGCGATTTTAGAAATGGTTACTACAAGGGCACAAAAACTACTAAATAGTACCATATTTGGTACTATTTTGTATTAGGTTAACAGAAAGTGCTTGAAATCTGAAATTTGGTATTAGCGTCGCTGTTCATGTTGGTTTCGGAAATGTGTACTATAATTTTATGGGAAGTACCAAATGGTACTATATTTGGTATGGGGTGAATGGATAGAGATAAAATTCTAGAATTTGATATTTAGATAACTGCTGGTATCTGAAGTTGAGATTTGGAGGTGCATTTGGAAATACATCCTATATTTGTACGAAAAGTACTAAATTAGGTAGTGGGTGAAGCGATAGGGCCGGAATCCTTAAATTTGAGATTGATGTCTCTGTTGGTATCTTCAGTTAAGATATGGGGATGGGTTTGGAAATGTGTACTATAATTGTACGAAAAGTACTAACTTTGGTATTCGGTGAAGGAATAGAGCTGGAATCCCGAAATTTGATATTGAGATCTCGGTTGGTATCTGGGATATAGATATAGAGAAATGGGTACTACAAGTGCACGAAAATACTAAATAGTACTATATTTAGTACAAATTGGGTAAGGGATAAAAAATTCGGGAATTTTATATTTAGATAACTGCTGATATCTGAAGTTGAGATTTGGATTGGTGCATTTGGAAATGTGTCCTATATTTGTACGAAAAGTACTAAATTTGGTATTGGATAAAGGAATAGAGCTGAAATCCCGCAATTTGATATTGAGGTCTCGGTTGGTAACTGGAATTGAGATATGGAGGAGGGTTTGGAAAAGGCACTAAAATTTGTATGAAAGGCACTAAATAGTTCCAAATTTGGTACAATTTGGTATTTCGTAAACAGATAGTGCTGGAAATTTGAAATTTGATATTAGGGTTTCGGAAATGTGTACTAGCTATTTCGAGGATCTTGGCCTCGGAAAGTACTGAAAATAGTACTTTTGATATTGATATTGACTAAATGAAACTAAAACCATTGCGATAACTATTGGTGTCCAGGATTGAGATATGGAACGGTTTTGCAAATGAGTACTAAATTATAGGAAAAGTATAAAATGTTACTAAATTTGGTATTGAGTGATTGAGTAGATTGTTTTGGATACGTGTGTTGAATATTACCAAATTTGGTATTGAGTGAATGGATATATCTGAAATTTGATATTGAGGTCACTGTTGTTTTCTAAGGTTTACATATGGAGAAGTTGAAATAGTTTTGGACAGAAAACTTGGATGTAGATCCATTGAGCAATGGTTTTGCTAATACGACTTTCTGTAAACTTCAAAATTAGGCCTTTTGAAGACTTTTTGGTGTAAAAGGAAAATATTTTCCTATTATTCTTTCCGAAAAAGGAAAAAACTTGAATAAGGTATAAAACCTTGAATGTCTGAAAATTTAGTACGATGTATGAAGTTTTGGGTAAACAAATTTTGTCAAACGGAACAAATTGTGAATTTTGAGTACTAAAAAGGACTAACACGAACTGTTGGAACAAATCTTAAATTTTAAGGTGGAATTTTCGCTGACGTAGTTGTGGGCATAGGTGTTATTTTCTTTCTTCTTCAAAATATTAAATTTCTGACTGAGCCGATGTGTGCCCGATACATCCCATCTTCGCTCTAGATGCAGTGCTGACAGAAATGTTTGAGGGTGCATAGTTTGAAGAGAATCGGTAACTCATATGTTTATTAAAAGTTTCAACCTTTTGTAGGGAAGGTATCAGAATAAGTGGTGCGCTATTATCAATTTTCGCACTTGACCTAAACTTAGTGTAAATATTACGATAAGCGACGTTTCAAACAAACCGGATATTCATAACGTTTTCTTTGAGATTTTTATTTATTTTTGAATAATTTTTCATCTTTTTTGGGAGAGGAGATACCAGATGGAGTGAACCAATATGCCCCTTCTTCACCCCATATCTAGTGTAGGCAGAAATATTGGAAATAAGCTTTTCAAATTGTTCACACGTCTCATCCCCACCTCCCAATCAATAACGTTTGAAAACGCGGACTTCTAAGAAAGCTAAATACAAATTTTTATATGAAGATTTTGTCAATACCCTCGAAATAGCTAAGATCAGGCCAAATCATTTGGGAAATGTGACTAAGACTTTTGAAATAGCTGAAACGTGGAACAATATTGATAAGGTTTCCTACATATCAAGAACTCAGAACGCGAACAAATGCCGAAAATAGTTGAAAAATACAGGTAAAATTTAAAAATTTAAAAGTATCAGTCGGTTTTGCCGACAGATGCATACAAAGGCAATATTCGATAATTTAAATATATTTTGACTTCTGTTATGATTATTCAAATTGTTGACTCTCTGTGAAGTAGGTTCCGAAGGAATGGGCCAATGTTGTCCGTTTCGTATCGGACCTTAAAAATATGATATGAGATGAGAAAATACTGCAACCAATTTCAGACTGCTGTCATTTCTAAGCCACTCGTCCGACTGCTGTTAAAATTATTCCAGTGACAGGTCATTATATTGTTTAGAAGCGTACAAAATCATTTTTGTGAGAATTTTCCAGAAAAAAAGTTATAGTTATATTATTGGTCTGGCTGAAAGTGGTGAACTGCCGAATTTGGTTTTCTCCGATGAGAAAAGATTCGATCTCCAGTATGTTTACTTGCCAAAAAGGTCAGCTTAAAATGTGCACCTTCG